AAATTGCATAATTTTCTGAAATTTTTCATAAATAACTCGAAAATCTTGCGTTTTATCGCAAAACTCATATAAAGCAAAAAGAAAGTTTTTGGAATAACGAATCGATTTTTTGTTGTTTACCGTAGGTGTAGTAATAGGCGAGTTATCACTCTGTAAAATTGATTCTTTATTTTTCGAAAACTAAATTGCAACCTTTTACCGTAAAATAATGGCGAAAGAACACATTTCGAAGAAAATGAATATGACCGTTTTTAAAGTGCTTTGAAAAGACCTTTTAAATATCTTTTTTTAAAGGTCTTTTCAAGTTCGTAGCTCAAAAACTCGCGGAGTTATGAAAAAAATAAAATGGTCAACAAATAAAATAATGGGGTGACCATTTAATTTTATCATAACTCGGCAATTTTTTGAGCTGCGAACTTTTTTAAGAAAGCATTTAAAAGGTCTTTTCAAGCACTTTAAAAACGGTCATATCCATTTTCTTCGAAAAATGTGTTCTTTCAACATCATTTTACGGTCAAATGTTGCAATTTAGTTTTCGAAAAATAAAAAATCACGTTTACAGAATGATAACTCGGCTATTATAAAGGTGCCATTACACGGCGCGCGAATCGCCGAGCCAGGACGCGCCAATGCGTATTTTCGCTCTTGCGATCTCACGGCCGACCGAGAGACAGAGACAAAAAATACATTATATAACTTTTTAACATAGACTATCGGTTTAAATTGGGTTTAAAAATTCGTAAAATCAAATAATTTATTCCGTAACTTTATTTTCAGTGCAGTTTATTCAGATAACAAAATGGGAAAGCAAAATCATCTGGTTAAATTAAATTAAATAAGATAATAATATTTTTTTAACTAGGGTTATTTATGTTCAAAAGTTAAATAATATTTTTTTGCCATATTTATGAAAATATAATTTTAGAGTATATCATATTTTCACAAAGCCCATAACAAGGCAAATAATATAAGAAAAATAATATACTGGGTGTCTCACTTAAAAAATAGAAGTCAGATTTCGAAAATGAGAACCAACAGCGAAACTAGTTAACATCACTGGATTCTACGTAAAAAACTAAACGAGACGAGTTTTCACCTTTTCGATAAGTTATAAGATAACCGATATACGATGGAATCGAAAAATGCAACATTTTAAAATTCGTCCTGTATTTTAGGAACTAAAAAGACTAGAACAACTCTTCTTCTTTTTTAATTCTTGAATTAATTAATTTTTTAATTCGTTCATGGTGCAATTGATACTCAACTTTTGATGTACTCTCAGGCAGCCGTCCTGTATTTCATTTCTATTTTTATGTGCATTATTTCTGGGGTTCCAAGTTATTTGTTCTTTTTCATATAGGGGTAAAAACTCAGATATACATGGTCTCGTTCGACCAAGAGATGTTGTCTCGAAATATGTAAAATATCAATTATTCTTCGAATCTCCGTTTTTCGATAGATATGGTAGGTTACATAATCAAATGTATCACATACCTACTGTGTTCAAAGTAAACAATTGTTATTTGTTTGCAGTTACTCTGGCAGAGACGGTTCTTTCTCATAATTCTATTTTGTGTTGTCATAATTTTTGTATACATAAAACCAAAACAGTTTTATCTTCTGTATTTTTTTCGGATTTTTAGATCATTTAATCAAAACGCCTACAAATTCTCTACTACATTGAAACCTTATCCGATAATAGCCAGTTAAGATTTGTAATAAATATGTTTGTGCTTGAAACCATTCCGTTTTTCAATGCCGTCCTTTCTTTGCATCACTTTTGTTTTTAAGCACGCACACGTCACGAAGATGTGACAAATTAAGACATCAAGTTCTGGATAATTTATCATTAGGAAAGTATTCGCCGTTATCACTCCCCTCTACCCCCCTTAAACATCTATCTTTCTTTTGTGTAAATCCATTTGGTAACCGGTGACCTTTCCTTTTTGCCATTGGCCTTTGGAAAAAATGTGCAGGGTTTTTTTTTCGGACGAGACAATATCCTTTATTTGACGATAGCTCGACGTTCAACATGGGCGATTATGTTTGTCTGGTGCTTTTTTTGGGGGGAGAGTAATAAAAGTACGGAGATCCAGTGTTTTGTTTATATTACTTCCGGTTACGTCGGTATTTATAACGTACGGATATTGTATGGTCAGAACAAAAAATATAAGTAAGTTGATCGTGCATTTGCGTTTTGATTTGAAACTTGCTACATTGATTCGCGTTGTTAGTTTGTTCTTTGATGATTTTCAAGTACACAAAATATTCATGTATTTTAAATTTCGGTATATTTTGTTCTAATGGACCTATTTTGGTGATTCCTGTGAAGCGATGTGTAGCCAAATTATTTGACTTTTCAGCTCTTAATACAGGGTGGTTCGAACTGTAGTCCGGAAACTTCGGCAGCATATTCTTCTGATAAAAATAAGTAAAAAAGTTTGTATAAATGTATGTCCTAAAATGCCTTCTAGTACCAATGTCTTATCATTACATAGAGTAATTAATAATTAATTATTGACTTGATTTAGAAATAAATTAATTTGTAAATTTTTCAAAATAATAGTTAAGTAGTAAATATTTTTATATGGAATTGGTTAAAAATATTTTAATATTTAATAATTAAATGGGATTAATATCATTTATTATCTGCACGTTACTACCTACGATATAAATCTCTACTATCCAGTCTCGAAATAGAACGATATTTATGTATATAATTTTAATAATAATTTAATTTTTTAGAATTATTTTTAACAGGCATACCTAAAAATAGTATGTTGTTTTGTAGTTGTTTTAATTTGATGCAATATTTATGACAAAAATATTAATACCTACTACTATTACTAAAAAAATCTATGTAAAGTACTTAACTCACCATTCCATTATCATGATCTACAGGTATTATGTTTTAAGTGGTTATAATATAGAACATGATAGGACAATAGAGACAGTTCTTTAGTATATTCATTTATGTATTATATATTACACTTATATGACAAAAAATAAATGATATATGAATATCTCGAGAAACTTACTGATTTGCAATTTCTGCAATCTTAAAAATGTTTGGGTACAGAAATGCCAAGTGGATAAGCTTTTAATAAAACTTATGATCTCTTGAGGAACTCTCCCTTAACTCAGTACACATTTAATAGATTAGGTTCTTCGGCCTGTTCCACTGCGACCTTTTCAAATCTATTGTGGTCCTCTTCTGATTCTTAGGTTACCATTCTCCAGTCCTGTTCCTTTCAAAAAATCTAGCAACTTGGACTGAACCGATGGACTGAACTCTCGATATAGCTCTTTGTTAATGGCCTATCATTACTTAGTAGTAGTAGAATATCCTGTTAGTAGACCCACTACAGCTGTGACTGTCTTTCTGTCTTTGCTTATCAGGTCCCGGTGAATTGGTGAATGTCCTGGTGAATTTCTCCACTTTCCATTCTAGAGGTTTGTTGGTCATTCTTGTGACTGTCTTTGCAGCGCCGCAAAAGGGTTCTGGGTCTATAAATGGCATGGATGAGCCCTGTTTGGTCATTTCATCTGCCTTCTCGTTAACCTTGTAACCGTGTCCTGGTATTCAAGTTAACGTAGCATTGCTACACTCAACGAATGTTTTTTGAGCTGGCACACAATCCTACACTAGTTTAGAATTCACCTCCGTGGAACCGAGTGCTTGCTTGGCTGTCTGTGAAGATGACCACTGAACGGTGTGTTCTTTGCTGCCTTATTATTTCTTTTTGTGGAATTTAACAGCCTTATCGTTCCCACTTGCATTGTCTTTGTCCACCACACCACCGAACCGTATATCCCATATGTATAACCATAGAATAATTTTGGAAATTATACGTTTTCGATAGACGATTATTTCAATGTCATTATTTCAACCAATTTTTTCCACACATCCTTCTGCACATGCCTAGGAAGATGGCAGCTTTCTGAGTTGCTTTCGCTATGTGAGTATTCCACCTTTAAAATCATATGACAAATGTCAACCTTTATAATTACACCAACATACTTTATTTCTTTGGCATATGAAATCTCTGGTATCTCCCGGTGGTTTTAGGCCTTTTGGTGCCATCTTTTTTGTAAAGTTGACAATTTGTGTTTTCTGAGGAAGGCATTTATTTAATAACTCAAGAAGCTCCTTGCAAAGTTATCCTGCGTACTCACAAAATAGGTGTTCTATTGTTTTCGCCTCATTTTGACAGACGTTTATCGTCTCTGCTTCAGTCATTTTTTTTCGGATGGTATCTAAGTGTACATGTTCAGTACTGGTCCAGTAAATGTGGTCTTTTCTGTCGGATTGTATACCTTTTGGGGAGTAGTTTTAGAGGGAAAAAATTTAACACCGTGCTCTAAATTGTAACGTGCAAATGGCCGAAAAATCAGTTTTCGCAAATATCTACAATTTTCAAAATTTGCTTGAAATTAAAAATGAAGCTTAGGTAATTACCTAGAATAATGGTCCTTATCATTTTTTACGTAGAATTAGTATATAGTTTTCGACATCAATTCGACCCTCAATTTTCTCTCCAAGTCTTAACGCACCGAAGATAGATTTCATAAGCCTATCATTGATTGATAGGACAAAGCGCTTTTTTCGGGACTTTACCGAAAAAAAAGTCTCAGGACCTTTTTGTAGATTACATATTTTGACAGATATTTGCAAAAAACTGAATTTTGGGCCATTTGGGACCATTTTTTGCACGGTGTTACAATTTTTTCCTCTAAAACAACTCCCGTAAAGGTACACAATCCGCCTAAAAAGTCATGATAGACGAATTAAATCGAGACTTGGGTCTTTTCGTGTCCTTATTTACTGGACTAACTAAAAGAGAACTAAGAAAATCTGTGAGATGAAAAAAAGCTATTTTGCTATTTTATATTATTGCTATAACTTTATAGAGTAATTTAGTAAATCAGATACTTCAGTGTAATAAATACTCTTTGTAGTAACTAAAAGTACTTAAGACGATTTTTGTTTGTTGTTTCAGTGGAAACTACTTGGTGCGCGTGCGCGCTCAGGTGATGTCCCGAGACGACTCGTCCGGCGGATGGGTACCGTTGGGCGGCGGCGGACTGAGCGACGTTTCGGTGCGGCGGAGACCCCGGCCTCAGGGAGCGGGGCCGCCCGACAAACCGAAACACGACTATCTTATATGTGGCAAAAGGATCAGCGACAACTCGGTAAGTACTAACTGGCAGTACAGTTTAGTAGATAATACATATTTTCGAATCACAGCTTATATAGTACTAGCTGATGATTAACTTCGCTTTTTCGTACACATGCAAGTAGCCAAAGCACCAGTCTTAATAGGTTTTCAAACGAAACTTCAATGGAGCTCAGAACCCGGCTTGTTACATTATGAGACTGTCTAGAGATAGTATTCTATGGTCGGTTTATCGCTTCTATCTCCTTTTTGATTGTTCTTTGAATCCCGTGGTAATGTCTGGACACTGCCATCTTAAAGATGATCCCTAGTTATCTTTAATACTTAAAGTTCTCTTAAATACGTTTAACAACCTTTTTCTTTTCTTTTATTTTTCTCTGAAAATATTCATTAAACCGTCAGAGAGAGTTTTATTGTCCTCATTGTTGTAAATATCATAGAGCTTCTTTTTTTCATTCTTTCATTAATTGTACTTAGTCCAAAAACGATTCATCATAAGAGATTGGTGCTTTAGGCTATTAAACGCACCCTCAAAATCAACAAATATCAGGAATAACGGTGAACGCCATTCCAATGATTATTCATCGGCTATACGGAGTGTATGTGATCTACACATGGTTGTTGAAGCCTAAATCTTGCTGATTTTGGACGAAAATGCGGTTCTATATGTTTCGCTAACCTTTCAAGGCCCGAGTCTGGTGTTGGGGCTGCCAACTGTAGTATCCAGACCTACGTCAGAATAAATCCGGCAGAAAGACGTGATATCTCCCCACATCTGATATTTGAGCTATACCACCGGCGCGCGGTGTGAAGGTGAGGTTGACAATTGGTCAAGAGAGGCTCTGTGTTCGCATCATGACCCAACGCACCCCGTGTTGTCATCTGGAATTAGATTTATTCTACCGCTTCGCCTGATCACTTCGATCACTGCTCATAGGAATATTAGACCCACATATTCTCTCGTTGATGATTGGTTAGCGTCGAGGAGCGTGTTCTCAGAACTACGTTGTCTCGCTGGCGACACTGGTTAACACTTCAAAGAACCAATGAGAGCTCTACTAAATTTAAAATTGACAGCTGTGTGGATTTTCTGCACATCTCATTGGTTGGTTGACGTGTCATCTCATTGTTTGGTTGGCTGGCGACAGTACGAAGTTCTGAGAACGGGGTCTAATTCGTTGGATCAGAGACAGGATGATTTACAAAATTGAATGTAGTTTAGTTTAAAGCATTGTCGATATAGGTCGTAGAATTTTGTCATTCAGATACGTAACGGATAACCTTGTATAGTCCTGTTGTGCGGCCTGAATCAAAAAAGTTTGTTATGCGGCCTGGATCAAAAAAACAATCTGTTGTTTGGATATATACCGAATGATTGAAAAAAACGGCGTCAGCGATGGCTATGAAATGAAGATCGCTGTCATTGTATATGTAAATTTATATGGAAAATGTCATCGATCGTCATTTTATAGCCATCGCTGACGTCGGTTTTTTTCGAGCATACAGTATTACAAAATCACTATGACGACATATCACTATGTGACGTACATAAAAAATTATTTCAATTTATTTTTCGCTTGCATTATCGAGCTATCCCATCACTAGTTTATTTTGTGCAAAAGCAAGACCAAAACTAGCGTTCGATATGCAATACTAAGACCCTATTTATGATGATCAAATGCAAGAACCAAGACCAAGAGTTTCTTGGTTTTGCTCTTGCATTTTCTCATCACTTAACAAAACCGTTTCGTTTTTGAGATTTACGCTTTTCGTTCCAGAGATGTTAAATATTTCGGAAAGCAGAAAAAAATATTTCTTTTGTAGATTTTCTGAAATAACTTAAGATCTGTTACAGATGTTTAAAAATGGCGTGCGGCTGTCAATACTACGTAAAATGAACTATCAGTAAGAATATTTTAGTTGCAATCTTAGACATATCGGTTTTTGACAAAATCGACAGGGGGGTGCCGAGGATTTTTTTCAAAAATTTTTGAAAAATCGTTTTTGCCTATTTCGTAATATGTTGTAGTCCTGAAAATGCACTTTACAAAACCGTTTCGTTTTTGAGATTTACGCTTTTTGTTCCAGAGATATTCGTTGTTAAATATTTCGGAAAACAGAAAAAAATATTTCTTTTGTAGATTTTCTCAAATAACTCAAGATCTGTTACAGATATTGAAAAACGGTGTGCGGCTGTCAATTCTACGTTAAATGAACTATCAGTAAGAATATTTTAGTTGCTATCTGAGACATTTTGGTTTTTGACAAAATCGACAGGGGATGCCAAGGAACTTTTTCAAAAAATTTTGAAAAATAGTTTTTGCTTATTTCGTAATTCGCTTTACAAAACCGTTTCGTTTTTGAGATTTACGCTTTTTGTTTCAGAGATATTCGTGGGTAAATATTTCGGAAAGCAGAAAAAAATATTTCTTTTCTTTTTTTTATTTTGTGCAAAAGCAAGACCAAGACTAGCGGTCGATATGCAATACTACGATAAGACCCTATTTATAATGATCAAATGCAAGACCCAAGACCAAGAGTTTCTTGGTTTTGGTCTTGCGTTTGCCCATCACTAAATGGTAGTTATTTTTCTTCTATTTAAACCCAACATATCTTGGATTTCAGGTAGTACTGAGTTGTACGATCAAAAAGGACTTCGAATACAACAAAGTGATGCCGACGTTTCACCATTGGCGGACCGGTTCCAAAAGGTTCGGCTTGACGTTTCAAGCGGCGGCCGACGCTAGGGCCTTCGACAAGGGCGTTAGGACGGCCGTGGAGGACCTGTTGGACGGTAAGTTGAGACAAGTGATGTACCCCAGTCTCCCCTAGGCTATTTTCATTTTATCGCATTGCTTTGTATTCATTTCTTTTCTCGAAGAAATAAGTGAACTTAGAGGAGTTCTGAACTAAATGTCGATAGAATAGCCACATTTACGTGTTTTAATGTTGCTACATTTTACAGAAATATCGGTTTTAATATAGATTTATAATACAGACAGGGTGGCCTAATATTCCGTGGACGTATTTTTTGAATCAAAATAAGTTTATTGGACACAATTTACTTCTATACAAAAGTGCTTTGTTTAACCATTAGAGGGCGTCAAATTAAAAAGTCAAAAAAATAAATACATTTTTTAAAATCTCTCCAAAAAATCCTATATGGGTATTTCGCCACTGCAAGAAAATCTACAAAATAAAATAGTTATTTTTTGTAGACACTGCTGCGTTAGTCCAAACGGAAACTGCTTGTCAGCAGTTAGGTTACAGATATACAAATTTGCCTAACGAACAAACAAATGCTTAACGTTTCGGAAAGTTTATCTCTTTCCGTCGTCGGAAGCAAAAAAATACAAAGAATAAAGAAAAAAACTATTTAAAATATTTAAATTAGCTTAACTATTCGAGAACACTTTATTTTTTTAAAACAGATACGTCTACAAAAACCGTTGACGTTCTGTTAAAATGACATTATATCAAGTTAAACTTCGAAATGAACAATTACTACCTGATAACAATTTTATTACTTAATAAGGTAAAACCAAAGAGCCCCAAACTTTCTGTATGATTATTTTTAATTTTTACGTGTGTTATGTTTATTTATGTTATGTTCTTTAAAATCAAAGAAGCGATTGCCATTCATTACTAACATCTACAGATGCATGAGCAATACATTTATTTTTATTAGGTTATATTAAAAAAGCCTCTTTTATTTTTTTAGAAGCTATCGCTTCTTTCATTATAATTTTGGCATTTTAAAATTTATTCTGTGCCTTGTGTCCCATGAATGCTGACAAATCTTAGATTTGTGAAAATCTCCCTTTCTTAAATAATCTTTATGTTCTTTAATTCGAACATCTAAGGGCAAGAACGGTAAACTAATAGGATTGCTCATCCTCATAAGACGTATTCCGCGCTTCATCTGACAGTTGTGACATCATTGTAGTCCTTGTCATGATAGTGTGTATTATTAGTTGCCTATGGTAAACTTATAAAAATAACAGCTGAGAAATTTTGAGTTAATTATTTTGTCAATTTTAAATGTGAAAAAGATGTTTGGTTTGGTTGAGTGTATAATATGTCACAAAGCGAGGAGTTTTCGCATGCACCTGGCGGACACTTTTGGCTGAATGAGCAGTCCTATTAGGTTAACTGTTCTTGATCTAAGGGTATAGGTAGTAATACCCATATAGGATTTTTTGGAGAGATGAATCCGCCACATAGGTATAGACATTTTTTATTTTTTTAAATATTTTAAGAACCGATGATATTCCCATTTGAATAAGATTTGGGTGCCTATGTTTTGCTAAGCACTTTAACATTTAACTTTCACAAAAACAAGAAAGAGTACGGTAGGGGTGAAAACTACCCCCACCCTCCATAAAGTTTAATAGAAATATTTTTCAACTCCACCAACGACTGATTTTTTTTCGCAAAACGGTTCTTATGTTTATTTCATTTTTTGTCTCTCGTAAAAAACGCCACTGTGCATACATTTGGAGAAAAAAAAATGGTTTTCCGAAGCTAACTTACAAAAAATATTTCCTAACACATCATGCTATTGTATGTTGGTGAAAATATGGAATGCCATGTTAGTGTCACAAATAATCTTGGACAATAAGCTTCATAAATTTTAAATGAATTAATGTTTGGGTTTATTTTTAATTGATGCGCTCTGACGGACAAACGAAGCACTTATGTATACTGGTAATTTGTGCACAATTAACTTTTTTTGGTTCAAAAAATACGCAGTAGTTCTATGTCCACGGGATATTTGGACACCCTGTATAGTTATACTGACGCCACGAAAAATGGACACTTTAAAATTTTCACTAAAGACGATGATAATGTGGGAAATAATATAAGTTATATAAGTTATAACTAACTTATGTCATATTCCTTACTCTGTTAGGCCATTCTACAGGGAATATAAAAGGTAATTTAAGTTGAGAAAATATATTCTAATTTACCATTATAAATAATGTTGTTATGTTCCTACAGTTGGGACTACAAGCTTATGATATCTATGTATATGTTTAGGCACCTCTTTGTTCACTTTTTTCATCATTTTGCCACATAAATACATATATTTTATTATTTTTATTATTAAGAAAACAAGTAACAGTTACAAATATCAACCAAACCAAACACATTCGTTCATGTTCTTCATTTCTTGGCTCATATGGGATGAAACCTGTCATTTTTGAATTATCACTGTTATAAATAACTAGACAAATTAGCTATTTAAATGTCACTGGAATATATTTAATCCTATAATTCGAGATAATATTTACTTTAAACGTCATATAGGTACATTTTTTGCTGTTTTTATTGTTTTATTAAGTACCAGACGCATTTGAAATCATATTAACCTTTCCATCGCTTCTTTCATATTTGTTTTGAAAAAAAAAAACATATTTTTGGTTTTACCCTAAGAAAGGGCTACACTTGCAGATAGGTTGTAGTCAATTGGTCCTAATTATATATCACCAGTAAATTATCTTATTTGCTCTATCTGCCTTTTTTCATTGCTTTCCTACTACGGGATTTCTACACGGTAAGTAAACAAGACTAATTACCTACATAGTAATCTTTTCCATAACTTTTCCATTATTTTTTTATTCAGTTTCCCTAGTTAGTCTTTAAAATGAATATTTTCATATCAAACACATGACAGTATTCAATGTAGAGTTCTTTAAAGATATAACACATGACAATGACAGTTATCTGTCATTCGCAAGTAAACTTAGTTACTTAAGTGAATTTAAATTTTAACCAGAAAAATATACAGGGTGAGTTTCCTACGATGTTCTTTATGGGTATCTCGGAAACTACTGGAGATAGTGAGTCGGTTAAATTGGAAAAGAATTGCAGTTTTGTGGGGTCATAAATATGCGCCTTTCAGATTTTTTTAAAAGTTCACGGCTTACTATGTAGATATTTCGAAAAAAACAAATTGCGGTTATTTTAAAAATTGTCCATAATTCCATTATAATCTATTTTAGACAAAAAGTTTTCAGAGAAAAATTGTAGATAATCACATTAATGAGATTGTGTCCTCCGTTTTTTTTTCTAAAGCCTGTCATTTTTGACATATGACACATACATATGTTTTTTAAATGGAAACCATAGTTGGTTATGACTTGATAAAAAGCGTCATTTTTTAAGCTTTTCAGCGACATAAGCTGTAACATGTTTTTTTTTCGAAAAATAACTGAGGTATAGGCAATTCTTATCATTTTTAAACAATTTCACTTAGTTAGCCATGGAAACAAGTTCAATCGTCGTTGCTCTCAGTAATGTGAAACTGTCCAAACTTTGTAAATTAAAATAAACAAAAATTGTAAATATGAATTTTTCAAATGAAGAAAAGCGTGTAGGATTATTAGTTCAACTTTTCTTGGCCATACATTTACGAGGATATGTTGACCGGTGTACGTTACTTACGATTTTTAGAAAAGTTAAATTTAGATACTCGCGCATCAATAAAGTGGTTCCAACATGACTTTCATTATGACACTCCCCCTCACAATGAAAAAAATGTTAAAAATTATTTATATCATAGTTATGCAAACTCAGGAATAGGAAGAGGTGGACCAATTGCATGGGCCTCCTCGATCACCTGACCTATCCCTTTTAGATTTTTTTATGTTGTATGATTAACAACAACGTTTACAAAAGAACTTATGAATTAAGAGAGGCACTCGAAGAGGCGGTACGGGAGAAGTTTATTAAAGTCGACCGGCCGTTCTGTGGGAAAAGCTTCTAATTCAGTTTTAAAAAGATGCATTTTATGTACTCAAAATAATGGCGGTTTTTTTGAACATTTGCTAAAATAACTTAAAGTGTATGTAGTGATATTAGTTCTATTAAGTTGTGTATTGCAAATTGTAAAGAACCATTTAATAAAATATTCTGTCTTTTTATAAATTATAAATCATAACAGAATAAGAATACCATACCAAGTGAAATTAGTCAAGAAAGATAAGAATTGGCTATAACTGGTAATTTTTCGAAAAAAAAAAACATATTATAGATCGCTGAAAAGTTAAAAAAATGGCGCTTTTTATGAAGTCATGGCCAACTATGGTTTCCATTTAAAAAAACATATGTTTGTGTCATATGTCAAAAATGATAGGCTTTAGAAAAAATCGGAAACACAAACTTATTAGGGATGTGATTATCTACAATTTTATCTGAAAAGTTTTTGTCTAAAATAGATTATAATGGAATTATGGACAATTTTTAAAATAGCTGCAATTTGTTTTTTTTTCGAAATATCTAGTAAGCCGCGAACTTTTTCAAAAATTTGAAAGGCGCATATTTATGAAATAATGAAAAAAAAATCACAACCCCACAAAACTGCAATTCTTTCCCCATTTAACCGACTTTCTATCTCCAGTAGTTTTCGAGATACCCATAGAGAACATCGTAGGAAACTCACCCAGTAGTAACATGGTTAAGAAATGGTATATTAGTTATTTATTAGATGAATTTACTGGGATGTTAAGAACACACGATATGATAAACAATAACCTTTATGACAGGTTCACTTCTTCAAAAAAGTCTTGGTTTTTACCACTAGAAGAGAAATCTACAAAATAAAAAGTTATTATTGTAAACATATGTTGAATCCGGACGGATCATTTAGCCAGTTTTTTGCAGTAAAACGACGAACTTTTTACGGTTTTCTAAAAAACATTAGGCCCCAGATAGATATTAATATCGCTCTTATTCCTCGTTTCTGTGGTATTTAGATCGTTTATTAAAATGGTCTTAATTAACGGGACAGCG